TACAACAACCATACAATCCAGAAATCTCATTACTGAGTGTATAACCAAAGGAATGGAAATCAACAAGTCAATGGGATATCTGCACTCTCATATTTATGACAGCTGCATTCACAATAGCCAAGAGCTGGAAATGTCCATTACCAAATGATTAGATGCAGAACATGTGGCATATATACAACAGGGAATATTACTCAGTCATAAAAAAGAATGAAATTCTACCACTTACAGCAACATGGATGAGCTTGGAGAAAATTATGTTAGGTGAAATAAGCCAGGCACAGAAAGAGAAATGCCACATGTCCTCACTCATATGTAAAAACTAAGAAAGCTGATCTCATAGAAGTAGAGGCTAGAATAGAGGTTGCTAGAGACTGGTACAGGGTGGGGGATGGGAAATGGAGAGAGTGTGGTGAAGGGATACAAAACTGTAGAGAGATAGGAAGAATAAGATCTAGTTTGCTATAGCAATATAGGGAGACTATAGCAAACAAATTACTATATGACTTCAAGTAGCTAGTCGAGGATGTTAATGTTCCCAACGAAAAGAGGTGACGAATGTTTGAGGTAATGGAGATGCTAAACACCCTGGTATGATCACTGCGCACAGTATAAATGTACTCAAATATCATATTGTATTTCATAAATTTATGTAATTATCATCGGTCAATTAAGAAAAATTAGATTTAAGAGAAAAAAATGTTTTTCAGAGACAGAAGTAGATTAGAGGCCAGAAGTGGAGGGGGAGAGGAATATCGAGAAGTTATTGCTTTATGAGTGCAGAGTTTATGTTTAGGATGACAAAAATGTTTTGGAAATAGGTGGAGGTAATAATTACACGGCATCATGAATACAATTAATTCCTTGCAATGGTATGTTTAAAAATGCTTGCAATGGAAATTCTTATTTTATATATGATTTACCACAATAAAAAATACTTTTTTGAAATTGTGAGACTTTTACATTTTATTCAAAGTGATAAAATATTAGCTCTAAGTAAACAATGAAAAGTTAGGTATAATTATTGTCATTCCCAGAGAAACCATTAAAGGATAATAATAAAGAGATAAAACTGAAGGCTATTAGACAAGTCATAATGGAATACTTTTCAAAAAATTTTTTATTAAAAATCCCATATAAGAAAAAAAAAAAAAAGCAGGAAAGGGAGAATAGAGGAATAAAAAATAGAGGGCACAAACAGAAAATAGATAACAGAATGATAAACCTAAATCCAACTAAATCAAATATTATGTTAAAAATGGTCCACACACACCAACTAAAAGACATCTATTGTTGAACTGGAATTTTTTTTTTAAGACCCTAATATGTGCTTTATGCAAAAACAAAACGAAACAAAATAAAACTACTTAAGTATAGTGATATGGAGAGGATAAAAGTAAAATTATACAAAAAGATACACTATGGAGAAAATAATCAAAAGGAAACTGAGGTAGCTATGTTAATATTAGATAAAGTAGTCTTCAGAACACAAAAAATTAAATTACCAGGGATAAAGAGGAACATTAAATAAAATTAAATGTTTGATTCACCAAGAAGAAATAGCAATTCTGAATGTGAATTCACCTAAAAATAGAACCTCAAAATGTAGGAAATCAAAACTGATAGAACTGAAAATAGAAATAGACAAGTTTACAATCAAAGTTGAAGGTTTCAACAGTCTTCTCTCAGTAATGGTTAAAATAGACATAAAAACAGTAAGGATATAGCAGACCTGAACAACACTACAAAATTATTTTTTCTAATTAATATTTTCAGAATATTCCATGAAACAATAGCAGAATACAAATTTCTTCAGGTGCTTATGAAATATTAATCAGGATGGACAATATTCTAGATGATAAGACAAACTTTAAAATATTTTTAAAACTGAAATTATGCATGAAATTAAACTGTAAACCAATAATAGAAAGATGGAAATTTCCCAAATATTTAGAAATTAAAAATACATTTCTAAAGAACCAATGTGTCAAAACAATTAGTCTTAAGGGATTTAAAAGGATTAAGACATGTAAAAGAAAAAGTTGATAAACTGGACTTGATCAAAATTTAAAACTTTTCTTCTATGAAAGACATTGCTAAGAAAATTTTAAAAACAAACCACAGATTGGGAGGGGGTTGCAAGTTACATATCTGATACTAACCTTGCAGCCACAACATAGAAACTCTCAAAACTCAACAATAAAGCAAGCAATCCACCAAAAAATTGGCAAAACATTTAAACAAACATTTCAACAAAAACAATAAACAGACGGTAAATAAGCGCAGAAAAAAATTTCAGTATTATCAGTTATTAGGGAAATGCAAATTAAAACTACAGTGAGACACTACTACATACCCATTTGTGGAAATACTAGAACTCTCATACATGGCTAGTGAGAGTGCAAAAGGCCACAGCCACGTCAGAAATCAGTCTGGCATTTCTTATAAAGTTATCTATATACTTGCCAAATGACCCTGCAATCTCACTCCAAGGTATTTACTCAAAAGAAATGAAAATGTATTGTATTAGTTTCCTAGAGCTATTATAACAAATTACAACAAATCTGATGGCTTACATCAACAGAAATTTATTCTCTCAAAGTTCTGGAGGCCAGAAGTTCAAAATCTAGATGTCAGCAGGACTGCACTGCTTCTAGAAACTCTTAGGAGAAAATCTGTTTTGTGCTTCTTCTGGCTGCTGGTAGTCACTGGCTTCCTTGGCTTCCTTGGTTTGGGCCTTTCTGCCTCAGTCTTCATGTCATGTTCTCCTCTACATCTGTCTTCTTCTCTGTGTTTGTCTTCTAAGGATATGCCATTGGACTTAGTATGTATAATCCTAAATCCTGTAAAATCCTGTATAATCTAGAATGATCTTATTTTAAGATCCTTAACTTAATTACATTAGCGAAGACCCTTTTTCCAAATAAGGTAACAGTCAGAGTTTCCAGCAATAAGAACGTGGACATATTTGGGGGGCCCACTACACTTAACACAAGAATCTATCCATGAATGTTTATTGCACCTCTCTTCATAAATGCCAACAACTAGAAATGACCCAGGTGTCCTTCAATGGGTAAATGGATAAACCTACTGTGCTACATCCCTACAATGTAATACAACTCAGCTATAAAAAGAAACGAACTGCAGCAACATGGATAAATCTCAAATGCATTACGCTAAGTAAAAGAAGCCAGACTCAAAACTGTATACTGATCTCGTTTACATGGCATTCTGGAGAAAGCAGAAGGGAGAGATAACAGAACAGCTGCTGGCGGAAGTTGAGGGGTGAGGGAGCATTTGACTACAAAGGGGAAGCATGGGGAAATTTGAGAGAGAGATGGAACTGTTTTACACCTTGTTTTGGTGATTACACAACTCAAACGTATTTGTCAAAACTCATAGAACTGTACACCAAAAAGAATAAAGTTTTCGGTATGTAAATTTACAATTACATAACTCAAACGTATTTGTCAAAACTCATAGAACTGTACACCAAAAAGAATAAAGTTTTCGGTATGTAAATTTACAATTACATGTTTAAAGTGAGATATGGAGCTGGGACTCTGGAGACCCCATTTTCCTTCTCCAGTTGGACCCCGTCAGGCTCTGCCAAGTGGCGGTCCTAAAAGGAGACAAGAATGCATGAAGAAGAGGAAGGATCTGGCTCTTTCCAATCCTGATTTCTGTTTCTGTCAGCATCACACACAGAGTTGCTTTACTCTAGCAGTGAAGTTATTTCCAGTTTCCAGTTTTGGTTTGGTTTTGATAATAAATGTTTATTTTTAATAATAAATGTTGTACGAGAACTGTTTTGTTTCATTTTTCCATACTCCTAGAACAGCCTTGTTGCAGCCCCTCAAAGATACCAGAATCTGCTGACTTACCTTCTCGGTGGTCTGAGAATGTTTCTTCAAGTTTCTAAATTCTAACTACCCCACCTCTTGCCTTTGTTCCCCAGCCCTGTGGATGGTGGCTGCTTCCTATGCTCTCTATCTGTTCTACCTCTGGCTCTCTTTTGCCTTTTCAGTACTCTATACCTATTTAGTAAATTCCTTATATGAAATTCTTTCTGTTAAAGTTACTGATGTAGTTCCTGTTTTCCTGACTAAAACTTGAGTGGAAAGCCAAAGTCTTTCTGGTGCCCTACAATGTCCTATATGGCTGCTCTCCCCCTTTACTCTCCAACCTCATCTCCTACTTCTCTTCCTCATCACTCACTCTAGGTCTGACTGCCAATTCGTAGAAAATACAAGTTAAACCTCACCCCAGGAATGCAATCATCAGAATACAGAATGTGGAAAACTTCACTGGGCAAATAACCTGTCTCTCCAACAAATGTATTGCAAGGGGTAAAAAAGATGGAGGGGGAACTTCCAGACTAAAACCCCTAACCATATCGACCATCAGCAATGCAAAGACCCAGTGGGCCCTGATTATCCATATGAATGATAATGGGTGCATTTAATTAAACTATGACTGGTTATTAATGAATTAAGAAATTATTGTTAATTTATGAAAGTTGTTAAATGGAATTGTGTTATATTTAAAGAGTCTTTCCCATATTTATGGATGTATTGATACAATAATATACTCGAAGTAGATGATATATATGAGTAACAATATTGACCACTGATCATTCTCGAAGTCAAGTAATGGGTACATAGAATCCATTGTATTATACAAAGACTAGGTGATTGTATGTTTAAAATTTTCTCCAAAATCCAGGAGTCTACCATGGCAGGCAGCTAGGCTAAAGAATAGTTCACAGATCTCTGGAAAACATAATAATCCACTGTTGAGAAGCACATAATGCAATGGCTTCTACTGCAAACTCTGGAAACCAACACGTGGGTATGCCACTCTCTACCTGTGTGACCTTAGACTTTTCTTCTCCCTGCTTGTGTGAAGTGGAATAATAGTATCTATCCCATGGTCTTTTCATGAAGATTAAATGAATTCACAGGTATAAAGCACTGTCTTAGAATACCATCTGACCCATAGTAAGCACGCCCAAAATATTATTATTATTATTATTACTACTACTACTACTACATAGGAAAACAAGTTGAAATGAATCACCAGGGTCTTGAAACAAATGTATCCAAAATATGTTTTTAATCTTGATGAAGTTCACAAATGGCACAATATTGACATTTCCTTAAACAAATTATACAATCATGTTCTTAGACAACAAGGCACAGCATCACTATTACCATGTGTCCCAAAGGCCACAAGAGGCAGTGATTTCATGTCTCCCTAAGGTTTGGCAGAGCTGCCATAATCAATAGGATGAGTCTCAAAGAACCAATTTGCTACTAGATAAGCCAATGAGAGATGCCATCACATTTACTGGACATATAATCAAATATAAAAATGATGCACAACAAATATGGAATTAGCTTGTTTTGCATTCACTTTCATTCCTTTCAAGTGACAAAGGTGCTTTTTTCAGTATCTATTAGGATGCAAACATGCGTATCTTCCATGGGGCCTCCTCACCAAGTTGTTGTCAACAAATATTAATAGAAGTGGTGAGTTCAGCTTCATGGTAACCTGAGATGAGGGGAAAGAGCAGAAAACAAGGAGAAAAAAGAAGGGAAGGAAAAGTAGGAGAAAAAGAACAAGAAGTGAATAATCACAGCTACTACTGAAAAGAAGACTAATTTACAGAAGTACTACTATAACTGCATTTATGAATTACAGATATGAGATGTACAGGCTTACAAGGCAAATGAAGACAAAAGTAATTCAACTGTTATCGTGAATATTGGTAGCAGCAGAATCACAGGTCTCCAGTCTGAATCTGTGAACACCAATCAATGGTTGAGCCCTTTCTCAGCCTGGGCTCATTAATGAGAGGTGGCCCTGGTTAAGGTTGGCAGGCCCATCCCTTTCTGAATCCAGCAAGCATTTTTTACAGTTCTCTTCTCAGAAAACTGATATTGCATGTCTGAAGCCTACCCTAGTGTGCTGATTTCAAGCTCAATTCTAGAAGGAACTCACCATCTCAGGACAAAGGAGAAAAAGGTAACTGAAGAATGTACCAGGGCTAGGGGGTTTCAAAATGTAGATCTTAACCTCCAAATCTCTTCCCCTCCCATCTCATAATAAAAGGGCAGTCACCTTCTTGCTGGAGTCATTTAGCTGCTCAGGCCTGAATGTCCCTGCGGCGCCGGCCAAAGGCTTTGGAGCCCACATTGGTGGGCACGAAATTGCTCTTCACCACACCCCCTGATCTGCTCAGCAAGCCTGCCAGCCGATGGGTCACGCAGGTGGCAGTGTTGCAGGTCCTCTTCTGGGCAGTGATGCTGATTTGCAGGACAGGGAAAGAAGAGAAGAACTCTCAGTGAAAGGCCGAGGGGAGGAGCCTGCCCCAGGGGACCTTCATAAAGAGAATTGCAGCTCTTCGATGTACCGTTTAACAATAAGTGTTTCTCCTAAATGCAATTATCAAAGCTGTTAGGGGAAATGGCCTGGCAGCCTTTGCTAGGTGTTCTGCTCAAAGACCAGCACCAAGAAAGAAAAAAAAAAAAAGTTCCAAGCTACGGGGCACATGTTAAAACCCTGCACTTATCATTCAAGGAAAAAGTGAACAAAAATCCCACCCCCACCCCAAGACACACAAGGAGTATAGAGACCATACCCCATCCATAAGCACCAACAAAACCACTTTCCACAGGAAAATGAAATTCTCCTAAAGACTTACCTAATAGAAGCTCCAAGAACAGGATTTGCAGCATCCTCTCCGAGAAATGCTTACCTGCTCCTTACACTGTTCCTGCTGTTTGAGCTCGGTCACAAAAATCACCCATCAAGCCTTATACTCAGCTATCTTGAAGCTAACTACTTCTAAGCNGTCACAAAAATCACCCATCAAGCCTTATACTCAGCTATCTTGAAGCTAACTACTTCTAAGCATAGACACTGGACACCTTCAAACCCTGAATGTGGATGAGATCAATGACCACCACAGCTCAAATCCTTTTAGAAAAATAGGTTTATTCATCAAATGGTGAGGCATCAAGGATGTGCATATTTTAGTATAATCAGAAGCAGAAATTGGACAATTAGCTCTGCTGTGAAATCCTCTGGGGTCTCAGGAAGCTTCCCTCACTCTCTCTTATCTCTAACCTGGTCTGTGAGTTCTGCTTTCTCCCTTCTATCCTGGGGGTCCCAACATTCATAAGCAATGCTGCCAGTATCAGCTTGAACAACCAGAGAGGAATCCACATGCATCAAATACATAAGGGGGAGCAAGAAAGGAAATCATGACTGAGAGAAGCTCAGTTGGCATCCTGGGGCACCCCAACATGGGAATAGCGGTCCTTCAGCAAGCCTCTGTCTAGGTCTCTTTTCTTGCCAGGTGTTTCAGGCCCGAAGCTGATGCCAGAGAATGTATGAAAGTTGTTCAGGTCCTGCAAGTATGTGCCCAGCACACAGGTACTCAGATGACTGCACTGCTTAGATCTGGGGCTGTCCAGGCTGCAGGAAAAAGACATGCCAGACAGTACCATGCACCAGGGTCTGCCCCTGTTGGCAGTCATGTGGAAGACTGAACCAAGCAGGGGCACTTTGAGCAGGGACAGGAGGGGCAGGCAGGAGGGCAGCTCACACACCCTGCATTAGGAGAGCTCAGAGGTGTAGTGGGCCAGGGCAGCATGGGGAAGGGCTGCAGTGAGGAAGGGTGACATTTTCTGGCATTCCACATGCTGTTCAGTCCTTCATGCTGGCCAGAGGGGTTCTCAGGGCAGATGCAGGTACAACTCATGCCTCTGCCCAGGCAGTGCTGGGGCCAAGCCAGGCGCTGATCTCTGCTCAGACTCAGCATGCACAGGGAGGTGGGGTTGGGGAAGGGTGCTCTCTCTGGCCC